TACCATGAGTAATGATCAGCACATAATAATAAGTTTCCGCGTTAATTTTTCTTACGCCTGCTACTTTTTGTGAAGCATAGGCCATCGATCAGTAATCTTCATTCTACTTTGTATTGGGCTCTTCTTTCCAGTTGTTCCTTAATGATATTTATTTTCTGATGCATGTCTGCAGTTACAGGTGAGACGTATTTATTGGTCGGTCATTTTTTTCTTTCGTCTCAAGTATTCCAAGTTAGTGCTTACCTTGTGTAAAGTTTGTCCCACACACTTCCAAAGTCTTTCCTTTATTTCCACCTGAATTGGCAGCTGATTTATTCTCTGGAACAGTTCATTTTTTCTGGTGGCCTCTGAATAATGGATGTGGAGTATTTAGCATTAACAGCTGAAACCTACTGCTTCAGAGTCAACTGCTACACTTGTCGTCCTCATGTGGAATAGAAGAGGCAGGTCATCCTTGAGGTCCGAATCGTTCAGCTGCATCCGAGCTGTCCATTGTACCCCTTGCTTTTTCTGAGATGTTGATGTCTTTACAATCCAGTCAGTCACCAGAAGAAAGAGGAAGGGTGAGAGTAGGCAACCTTGCCTGATACCGGTTTTCATTCATAATGAGTCTGTGAGCTGTTCTTGATGCACGACATTGCAGTTTAATTCAACAGAAGAATCCCGTATGATGTTGACTATCTTTTCAAGCAAACCATAGTGCCAAAGAAGCCTCCCTAGCCGCGCTGTCGAATGTTTTCTCGTAGTTAATGAAGTTGATTAGAGTGGTGAATTGAAGTCAATTAACTGTTCCACAATGATTTATAGTGTTGCGATTTGGTAGCTACACAAACGGTCCTTCTGGATTCAAGTCTGATGAACTTGGAGTTGGGCATTGACGAAGTCTTTCATTCAGTTTAACAACACTGTTGAAGTTTTTTCCTGGTATAGAGAGTGGAGTTGTTACTATTTATATAAAGTATATATAGTATTCAGGAAAATAATCTTCTCTATAAAATCCGTTTATTCGTTATGGTCTTCATTCTGGAATCTGTCATTGATTACCTCCAATCATCTAATATCAATTACAATTGAAAAATATCTGGAACTCCAAACAAATATCAATCAACGCCAAAATCAGGATTTTCTATACAAATGTCAAGACAGTTCTACTGTATGGAGAGGAAACATGGAGAACTACCAAAGCCATCATCCAGACGATACAAGTATTTATTAACAGTTGTCTACGCAAAATACTTCAGATTCGTTGGCCAGACACCATCAGCAACAACGAACTGTGGGAGAGAACAAGTCAGATTCGAGTGGATGAGGAAATCAGGAAGAAGCGGTGGAAGTGGATAGGACATACACTGCGTCACTAGACAAGCCCTCACATGGAACCCTGAAGGCAAAAGGAAAAGAGGAAGGCCAAAGAATACATTACGCCGAGAAATAGAGAAAGATATGAGAGGAATGAACAAACAGTGGACAGAACTGGAGAGGGAAGCCCAGGACAGATTCGGTTGGAGAAAACTGATGGGCGGCCTATGTTCTATTGGGGGTAACAGGCATAATAAAAACTAATATCTAATATCAGACAAACTGCGTAGAAAACTATGCTTGGCAAGCAAAATTAGATTCGAACCACGGACTGAATATGTACATCCTCACTAGTGGCCTAGCTTGAAGAGAAAATGTCCGGTATTCTAGTGAGAGGTCGTAACCGGTAAAGATAAGCTGTTCCAAGTACGAGGGATTTACTCAATGAAGAAGATCGTTGAACAATGTTCGAGATTGATTGTAATTACGCATTAACACTGTTGGATGCCGACTCAGCGATTTGCACTTGAGGCCTAGAATTCTGACTTTGACTCTTACTTATGGAGTAGTGGATGTATAGTATGTATGTCCAGTACTTTCAAGTTATTAATCGTAGTCTAAATTAAAGTGGTTCATGATTTAGATGAAATATGACGTTATGTACTCTCAGTGATCGGACAAGTGATCAGATCCAAAGTGATCAACTAGTTTATATAAGTACTGACTATTGATCCACTTGATACGTCGTTTCCCATAGTAAATGCTTGTTACTCAAGATAACGAAAAAAACAATTCATAATGTGAAAGGACAATTGAAACTAATCAATATCTCTCTGAACATTTATTCGTATGATCAGTTGCATGATTATTGATTTTTTGAAATAAGTAAGTAAGTAGGTGCATAAGTAAGTAAGTAAGTAAGTAAGTAAGTAAGTAAGTAAGTAAGTAAGTAAGTAAGTAAGTAAGTAAGTAAGTAAGTGCATAAGTAAATAAGTAAGTAAGTAAGTGCATAAGTAAGTAAGTAAGTAAATGAAATATTTGCAAAAATAAACAACAATTGAAATTTATTATTACTCAAGTATTGTTTATTACAATAATACTTCTCTCACTTATTCTATATACTCGTTCCTTTTATCGCTTGATTGATTATCTCCTGTTTATTTTTTTCCAAAAGTGGTACATATGGACAAGTGATTAAATGTTTAGAGAAAAAAACTGGAAATATATTTGCAGCGAAAAAATTTAAAATTTTACGTTTGAAACGATATCAAGGTGAATTAATGGAAGTGGCTGTATTACGTGCTGTCGGTAAACATCCACAAATAGCTCATTTACATGCTGCCTATGAGCATAATCTTCATTGTACATTGATTACAGAATTGTAAGTTGTTCAGTAGTGTATGATTTTTTGTTTATATGTTCTATTATTTCTCTTTTTTTTAAAAAAAAATCATGCACACATTTCAACTTGTATGATGTATGATTTATGTATATTTTGTGATTTTATATATATACGTGACATTTCAAAATTATGAATGGAAAAAGAAATTTTTTTTAGTTTATTCAATACTCTATATGGATGATGATCGATTTATTGAAACATTGAATCCATCTACTTTGAATAATTATTGCTTAAAATTTAGTTGTCCGATCAATAATTTTTTTTTAAGAAATGTTTAATTATCTATGGCATCATTGTAGTCAAACACTATTATATCTTAGTGTTCCGTAATGAAGCGAATAGAGGTCACCGACTATCATCATCATCATCAACAGCAACAGCAACATAGAACTTTGCATGTAAGTATAGCAGTTCAAATCGCCATACCACAATAACACACAGATATAATTGTCAATTCAAATCCCATAGTAGGTAGAGGTAGAAAAAGTATGAGAAGTAATCGGGGAGATTAGGGTTCAAAGATGTTATTCAAGAAGTATAATGCGGTGAGGTAAATTTAGAAAGAGAAAGATAGAGCGCTTAACACTTTGGAGAAGTTTAGAGAGGTTTCTATAGGACTTATCTTTGATGTCGTCTGAACTACAATCAGTGGGAGCGTAGGCAGATACAACGAGTTCTTACCGTCTCGTTCAGTCAGACAGAGCATAAGCGACTGTCTACCGAGATCCAGTCCAAGATAGCTAGTTCTACCCTACGACTTAATACTATACCTACCCCAAAGAGGCCACGAGAAGCGGAATCAAGGCTTCCAGAAATACGAAGCATAAACCTTGTTGTGTCTCTATCTGCTCTAGATGAGATCAAATTGATGGTTTTACTCGGATCTTGTATGCACGTTTCGGAGACACAACATACGTCAATCGCTCAGGATTCCAGAGTTCTAGTTAGTGAAACCTGTTGCCCTATTTGGCATAGGGTCCGAACATCAAAAGTTCCAATATGTAATTTAGTGTGGGGTTTCAGGAGACCAGGAATAATGTTTCGTGAGCTTGTACCGTTTGCTTCAGTGATGAGAGGTTATAAACGATCAAAAGCAGGGTTGGTCGAGGAGATAAGAGAGTTATTAGGAGGTGTATAAAGGATTTGATTGTGACTAGTTTGGTCTCGTGTGCTTCGACGGGTACGAGGGCGGACGTCGTTTTCCGTCTGCCCACACCATGGAAGCACCGACCAGCATTCTCCAACTTACTCTGTCCTAAGCCTTCCTTTCCAGTTCTGTCCAACTGTCGTTCATTTTTTCTCATGTCCATCTACATTTCTTGGCGTAATGTATTCAAGTGATAGCATTTTCCTTAAATTACTCAACTAAAATAATTGATATTATTATTACTGTTATCAACATTTTGATAATTCTATCTTTAGTTACAATCAACTTTACTATTTTGTTTAGTCTATTAAGAACACTCCTAACATGTTTCTTTTGGTCAATTTGATCATGACTCCTAAAACACTGATTATATTACACATTTGAAATCATCAATCAATCATTTTTAGACCACCATTAGAAACCTGAGAGCACTGGACGGAAGTTTCGTCCTAGTATTGTACTCATCAGGAGTGCGCATCCCCGACTCGCACTCCGCAGGATTTGAGCCCGGGACCTTCAGTATTGTCCGGAAACGCATAACTATCGGACCATTGATAATATTCCTCTGTAGTTTTAATTTGTATGATTGTTGAAGCTTATTATGTGCATTTGTACACTGGGCTATTTTTTAGATATTACTGATAAAATCACTTTTCTACAAAATTTTATCAATTTATAATAAAAAAAGTGTGCCAACACAGAACTGCGGGAATACTTAACGAAACGACTTAACGTCCGATAATGTTTGTTTTTTGACATACATAGTTTATGATCGAAATCATGAAACAGTCATTGTTAGAGCATTTTTGGAAGCACTGGGTGGGCGTTTCTTCTTGGTGTGAGACCAATAAGCAGTATGCATCCACGATCCTGAGGGTTGGAATCGAATCCAAGACCTTCGGTCTTCCGAATGAATGCTTAACCTCTGGACCAACGAGCCAGCATCCAACTGTGTTAATATCTAACCATGATTAATCTAAGGTTTTGCGCAACTTCACCCGTTTTCTTCGATAGTTACTACCTACACTAGACAGGGTTGAACTCTACTGGTCACGTCTTCCCATCAGAACTCCAAGAATTTCCTAACGAATCTAGTTACTAGTGAACACATTCTACGATTTTTCATCATATAGTTATGGATGTCGTTGCATGATATTGAGATCATGAATCGATCACTGCCACGGAGGTATAGCGTTCGCATGCAAGATCAAAGGTCTTGGGTCATGAGTCATAGAAGTACAATGCTGATACGTCTCATACCAGAGCGAAACGGCCATCTAGTGCTTTCAAGTTTCTGACGGTGGTCTAACAATGATTTATTCACGATTTCAATAATCAATAGCGGTCTCCACAACTCTATAATGAAAAATTACAGAGTTTATCAACAGAAGTAATTGTTTGAAAGTTTGTAACTTGTGGAGTATTTTATACACATTAAAAACAAATGATAGCTCATTTCTAGACCCAATCCATTTAATTTCCACACCCGAAAATTCATTCCGTTAGATTAAATATCTGAGAAAAAGAAACCAACATATCTCTTGCAGTCAAAATACTTTTGGTTGAACACACTTTTTAATAACCTAAAGCAGTTGATTATACAGCATACATCCGGTTAAAAGAAAAAGTTATGCAATAATCTACCTCTTAGAATACTAGTTCAATGTAATTTAGCTTATCAACCCTGAGATAAATTTACTCTATTGATTAATATTGTGTATATTCAACTAAATACATAGTTTTCTCAAAATTTTATGTCAATAATTAGCGAGAAATTCTTTACTTCACAAATAAGTTCACAAAAGATCATTGTACTGTACATATTTTAATTGGCTGTAGATATGACTAAAAGACAAGACATTACCTCAACAAGCAATAAAAAAAGCTGAACATTAAGAATGAAATCCAAGTTATTCCGTGGTTAATAAAAATAAATCTTCAGCAAAAATTTGACTTTTACTGTCTACATACCACCTCAGTACAGTTTGATAGTCAAAATGCATATGAAAATAATAAACAATACCAGAGTGCTTGTTTTCTTTACTGTATATATATATATATATATATATATATATATATATTTGTACCATGAATCGATCAATGGTAGACCACCGTTAGAAACCTAGAAGCACTGAAACAAGGCCGTTCCGTCCTAGTATGGCACTGCTCAGCAGTGCGCATCCACGACTCCTGCACCTCGCAGGATTCGAACCCAGGACCTCCAAGATTGTGCCCGAACGCCCTAACCGTTAGACCACTGAGCCGGTCCCTGTTGGTGTTAATGTTTAACTTGATCAAATTCACGAAGTTGCACATCCTCATACACAGTCTTCGGTAGACTGCCGTAAATTTGATCAAGTTAGACATTAACACCGTTAGATACCGGCTCAGTGGTCTATCGGTTAGGGCGTTCACGCACAATACCGATAGGTGTTGGGTTCGAGTCCTGCGGGGTGCAGGAGTCGTGGATGCGCACTGCCATTGATGAGTCCCATACGACGGCGAAACGGCCGTGTTTCACTGCTTCCAGGTTTCTAATGGTGGTTTAACATTGGTCAATTCATGGTTTCGAAAAAATGTGTAACTTAACAATCTTCAAAACCCCGTAATGATATATATCAATAAAAATTATTGATTAAATTTCAGCGTTCCAGGTGGTGCCCTTTATAATCGAATAGAAAAAGAAGGTTCTTTAGATGAAGCAATAACTGTGAGTATAATTCGTCAAATTCTTCTCGGTTTAAAACACCTGCAAGATTGTTCAGTGATTCATCGTGATTTGAAACCAGAGAATTTGATGATGGTTCAAGCAACTGGTTATCGATTAAAAATTATTGATTTTGGGCTAGCTGTATTTTATCAAAGTGGCCAATGTACACCAATTCCTGCCGGTACACTTACTTATATAGCACCTGAAACACAAAACTGTGATCCACAATCATATACTACAGATTTATGGAGTGTGGCTGTAATTGCATATGAAATGTAAGTTTCACAATTTATTAGCTCCAATTTCACAATAATTTACGCGCTAAATCAAAATAAAAAAATACTTTTAAGTAGTTTGAGTTGTAATTTATATTACCGATATTTGTAACGTTCTTATTCTTGTAAGTTCTTACTCTATCAACTACTACTCCTCACTATACCTGTTTGAATTCATGAATGCTGATTTTGTTGGAAGATCTATTGATAACACAGCTAAATATCTGACGCTTTGTAACTTTTATACCGATTCGACAGGACAGTAGAGAATGACATTTTTAAAACTGAGGTGTTTAGATGCAAGAAGTAGTTACCTAACAGTCTTCAACAAATTTTCATTGAACACACGACGGAAGATTATTTCATAAACTGTTATAGACTACTTCGAAACTTTATCACTTTGAAAATAAATGGTCTACAATTCACATTAGTTTTTCGTCAGTGGCCAATGAATTGTCAGTAAATTAATTTTAACTACTTACGAGTAGTATAAATAGCCTTGCAATTGTTTCGAACCAAGTATTGTTGTCTTGGATCAAAATCTACAACCGAGTTAAACGTTAATTATTTTATCCAAGAGGTAAGATTAACTTGAAAGTTAGTAAGTTTACAGGAAACAAATACAGAGTCGTGATGAACTAAATACGTTATAAGAATCATGGGTAACGTGTATTATTCAAACAAATATCAACAAATCGAATAAGCCTTCTTGAAGTGTAACCATAATACAATATTAAAAAAAATGACGTCAAAACTCTGGAACATGAACTATGACATTAAAATGATCCGTTCAAGAAAGAGATAAGTAGTGAGTTAAAACGAAAAGACGAATGTCAAATTATTTCTTGTCAAAGAATAGTACAGCATCACATATGGGAACCAGTCATGGAAGGGAAGAATGAATTTATTACATAGTGAACGGATTTTATATATGATCGGTTAACACTACGAAGCATATTCTCGATATAATTTCAACTGTCATCTAAACCACAAGCAAAACTAACAGATCTGAAAATAAAATTTCCTCTCATCTTATTCACATATGGTTTTATCATATCATATTAAACGTTTCTCTATGTTATTCCTTACATAAACTACCAAAGACAAATGGGTGAGGTCCCCTGATCAGTCAGAGTTAGACATTAACACCATTGGATGCCGGCCCAGTGGTCTGATGCCTAGGCGTTCGTGCACCAAAGGTTCCGGGTTCGATTCCTGCGAGGTGCAGGAGTCGTGGATGCGCACTGTTGATGAGTCCTATACCAGGACGAAACGGCCGTCTTTCAGTGCTTCCAGGTTCCTAATGATGGTCTAACAATGATTGATTAATGATTTTAAATGTGTATAAACACATTGTCAAGTAAGACTTATCCACATTTGTTTTTCTTCGTTAATAGAAAAGAACTTTCATGTTTAACCAATTGACTGATCTATTTGATTCTAGTAATCGTTAATTGAAACAAATTTTGGAAATAGGTTGAATGTAAAAAAAATTCATATTTTTAAATTCTTTCTTTTAATGCTAAAATTCAACTGATAGTTTTCAATAAAACTGAAACTCTTATCTAAAACTAATAATCATTGGGTTAAGTACAAGTATTTAATGGAAAGTTAGAAAAACTTGAAAGTCGAATTGTTTATTACTTAGATCAAAGATCAAGAATTTAATGACAGAATTTGACCGGTAAAATAAATCTTCATAGCTTGTATTTTCTGAAATGATTCTCTCGTATACTTGACAAACTACTGGGAACATATGTAGAAACCGGGAAGCACTGGCCGGCCGTTTCGTCCTGGTATGGGACTCATCAGTGGCAGTGCGCATCCACGACTCCGGTCACCTCGTAGGATTCGAACCCGGGTTCATTATTAGTGACTTAATGATCATATTGTGACATATATTAATGAATTTTAACTTTATTTTCTGATACTTATCGTATACTTATGTACAGTCTTGCAGGTATCACACCATTTGAAATCCCTCAAGATGGTTGTCGTGATCGAGTTCTCACTAATCATGAAATATCCTTGAACATTACACATGTCCGATATGATTTTGAAGACCCTGGAATAGTGGATGTTTCTAATGAAGCGAAAGATTTTATCAAACAAATTTTAGTTCGAGATCCTAAGTAAGTTATATTATAGTTCATGTATTATACATGTATTATATATATATATATATATATATATATATATTATATATATATATATACATGTATTATATACCCTCAATGTTAGAGGAAAAGAGGAAGGCCAAGGAACACATTACACCGAGAAATAGAGAAATGTTTTCGCCATTGTTAACCTAAATCTTTTTATCAGTTGAATACATCGAAAGTCCATCTAACTTATATTACAAATAATATTACAAACAATTGCTTCAATATTTAAATAATTATTTTCAAATTTCTTTTGTATTCTTTTTTTAAAATTTACACATTAAAAAACATGAATATATGTATATAAACAATTGATACTTCTCTTTTATAAATGTGGGAATATTCTTGATTTAATATAGAGACACATAAAATTATACTGTTTTAACATCTTTTATTATAATATTCATCGTTTACAATCAATCACGTGGTGAGATCAATTCACATTAAATTTTAACGATCTCTTTAATTCGCTTGACGAAAAAAAGATTAGAGAATATTGAAAACACTTGAACTATCATCTCTACTCTGAAAGCCCACTTATGGTCTAATAATGGGAAACATGCCAATTTATATACTGAAAAATATTTCCTGATTACTGCAACACTTTTGGTAACACACTGCTTATCAGTTCAGATATAAAAATTGACTGTCACTGAAAATGGCTATTTTGTCTTAATATTAGACTCCTCAACGCTGTTTCTCTGCGAACCCACAAGCAGGGATTGGAGTCATGACTTATGGTCTTATGTGCAAACACTGTACCTCCAAACCGACTCACTAGTCGACATCCAAAGGTGTTCATGTCCAATTACAATCAATTCACGATATTGCGCCCCACCATCTTTCATTATCTTTGGTAGGTACTTTCCTCACATCCGACATAATTAAGTTCAGTATGTCACGATACTTTGAAATGATAGAAGCTTCAGATTACATAAATATTGTATTTGAATTATCCCTACTTAATTAATCTGAAAAATGTTACAGCCAACATTATGCCTTGTTCAAATAAATCAATCGCCTAAATCAACATTCGACAAGATTTTATCACCCTGTATAATTACACTTCTAAATAAGAATGGATTACCAGTAATCAGTAATCTGATATTCAATATCAATCTATCAGACAAACAAAAAATTTATTACATTATAATCTAGATGTAAGAATTTCTTCTGAAAAATCATTGTTATTTGTGTTAGTGTGAAAAATAATAATCCCTTTTTTTTCCTAAATCTCATTTTTTCCTACCAAATAATCATTCAAATGTATATTTTTGTTTGATTTTACAATTGTAAAGTCAAAAAGTAAATCAAAACTGTGGTCTAACGTTTTTGTAATTATATCTTGAAAAGGAAAATAAAATGACTAAACAATAATATTGAAAATATGGTAACTTACTTACGCCTGTTACCCCCAATGGAGCAGAGGCCGCACACCAGTATTCTCCAATCAACTCTGTCCTGGGCTTACCTCTCCAGTTCTGTCCAATGTTTGTTCATTCCTCTCATATCTTTCTCTATTTCTTGGTGTAATGTGTTCCTTGGACTTCCTCTTTTCCTTTGACCTTGAGAGTTCCATGTGACGGGCTTGTCTTGTGACGCAGTTGGGTGCTTTTCGTAGTTTGTGACCTATCCACTTCCACCGCCGCTTCTTCCTAATTTCCTCCTCCACTGGAATCTGGGACAAGATGGTAAAGAAGTCATGAATTATCTTATGTTAATAATTCAGTTATTATTTTGCAAAAGTGGAACAAAACGCTTGTTAACTTTCAAAGTGATTTATTGTAAAGCTAATTTTGTGAAACAAAAAAAAACGTATAACACAAGTTTACTTACTCACTTATTTACTTACTTTTGCCTGTTACTCCTCGTATGACATAATCCTCGTCTGAATAGTAATCTATAACCTAATTATCCTGGGCTCGCTTTTTGTGTCGTTCTCGTGTGCTGTGAATTCTATGGATGTTAGCATGTGATTCCCAGTGTTCGGTCTTCTTCTTTTCTTTTGCCTGGAGATTTTGAAATTAGGGTTTGGTATGTGGTGCAGCTTGATGATTTTCACAATATGTCTCTTATTCCTGATTTCCTCTTTCTTTGGAAGCTAATTTCGTCTCTACCACAGCACATTGTTGCTGATAGTGTCCGGCTAACGGATCTGAAGCATCTGGTGTAGACAAATATTTATAAATATCTATGCCTTTTTTCGAGTAGTTCTGCAAGTTTAGATTAGATTACATTTTTAATTAACATCTCAATAATAGTTCTGTTACAATCAGAAAGCATTTAATCAAACTACCATGACAATTATTTTTTTCAATTTATTTTTATCAATTAAGTAAAAGACCTTCAGTAAAAGATTGTTTAAATCATCCATGGATGGCAATGCGTGAAGAGGATAGACCACTTGTAAAAAGAACTGTTTCACTGTTTCGTCATAGTACACGAAGAAAACCTAAAGGTGTAAGTAGTTCATTTTGTTTTATTATTTTTATTATCTATTGAGGTTTTCTGTTGGAAATATATATATATATGCAGTGGTTATTTTTGCAACTAATTCCAATCTAATGATTATTTTTAGTTGAATATTGTTTCCTTTATTGTTGAAATCCACATTTAATTAATTACTTACTTACGCCTGTTACCCCCGATGGAGCATATGCCACCCACCAGTTTTCTCCAACCAACTCTGTCCTGGGCTTCCCTCTCCAGTTCTGTCCAACTCTTGTTCATTCTTCTCATGTCTGTCTCCATTTCTTGGCGTAATGTGTTCCTTGACATTCCTCTTTTCCTTTTACATTGAGGGTTCCATGTGAGGGCTTGTCTTGTGACGCAGTTGGGTGCTGTTAGTGTGCGTCCTATCCACTTCCACCACTTCTTCCTGATTTCCTCTTCCACTGGAATCTGGTTTGTTCTCTCCCACAGTCCGTTGTTGCTGATAGTGTCTGGCCAACGAATCCGAAGTATTTCGCGTAGACAACTGTTAATAAACACTTGTATCTTCTGGATGATGGCTTTGGTTGTACTGCAAGTTTCCCCTCCATACATTAGAACTGTCTTGACATTTGTATTGAAAACTCTGATTTTGGTGTTGATTGACATTTGTTTGGAGTTTCAGATATTTTTCTGTTGTAAAAGTGCTGTCCTTGCTTTGCCGATCCACGCCCTCACATTTGTATCGGATCCATTGAAATCCACATTAAATGCCAGAAAATTATCTTTGTACCGATTTGGATAGACAGAAAAAGTCATTTCTATCGAAAATAGTCTACTCATTTCGAAGAAATATATATAAAATTATAAGCCAAAACTGAAAATTTCCTACATTTTACATCCATCTGGCCACGATTTGACTGAGATTAATGTTACTAATCTTTACAAAACAAATATTTCTTCATCTGTTCTTGATTTAAATGTTTCACTTTGAATACCTGCTAAAGTTTCAGGGATGAATACTTACCGGTAAGAAACGAAATCATACTTACACTCAGGCAGACAGATACAACGCAGAACTTCGTACATAAGTACATCTGTTCAGGTTGCCATACCCCATCAGCACAGAGACGCAACTGTTCGTTCAAATCCAAGAGTGATAGTGATAGTAGAAGTATTAGCAGTAATGGAGAAGATTAAGGAGCGAAGATATGATTCAAAAAGTATAATTCAGTGAGATAAATTTAGAAGGAGAAAGATAGACATTATGAGGAATTCAGAAGGTTAGAATTAGAAAGAACACAAAGAGTGTATACATCTGCTCCATTGCAAACGTTTCTGAGCCATGTCATTCAAGGTCTCTAACCATTGGCTACTTTTGTCTAGCAGACCCCAACCAGATAGCCTACATCTACCAACATGACTCAGTCCACTTGTCAGTGATTTCATACATTTCTGCCATGTTTAGGTTCGGCCGCCCCTAACTTTCGTCCAACTCAGCTGTTTCCGTTTCACTGTAATGATACAATTTGATACTTGGCCACTAAAGCATATTTGTACAGGATTTCTGAAAACGACATCACTTTTTATGTTATAACACTTTTAGTCTTTGAAAATCTCAATAATGTAGATTTTATGTTGGACTGAATCTGAAGTGATACAACTTTGACAGATGTCGTCACTTATATGAATTAAGATTTACAATATAACTAATACGCTGGGCCAATCAAACATAGACGAAATAAAAAGTAATATATGCTGATTAGTACACGCTTTCGGCTACTATCCGACTTCATTTTAAGAGGAAAAGGATAGATCCTGGTGGTTGAAAACTAAAAGTCATATATTTACAAATGATTCTGATTTAGCTAATGAAATTATTGTTGGGGATGTTAGATCCACAGAACTCGCTTGATAAATGCTTTATTTTGGATTTCACGTTTGCCAGCATGGACTGATCAGTTCACCTTGAGATTTCATTTTCCAACAGGAAATTCCATGGCTCTGATTGGCTGCTGTGTATTTTAGCGTGCTATTTTCGTAACTGTCCCAAGGACGTTTGTATAATGTATAAATAAACGAGTGTTGTGTGGTTGATTGTATTTTGATTGCTTAGTATTGTAGAATATACTTTCTACGCTTAGCAAGACTTCTGTTTTACAGCTTGCGATTCGAGGTAGCCTACCTGGACGCTGGTTCATTGTCTCGTTTCGCGTTTATCGACTAAGCTGAACTCATAATAGCTTCAAGCGTACCTAGTGACGAACATAACAATTATCCTACTTACTTGTACTCCTCTCATTCAAGCAAAATAAATAATCTCATGCATACAAAGCTTGTACATAGGAAAGTAGACTCAGATGACAGATAGCACAACTGGACAACTTTATCATTGTTGTTAATCTAATATTTATTATTTTTTTCAAGATTTCCAATTTTTATTCAGCCTAAAATAATAAATAATGTTTATTCTTTCCAAATTTTCAGTATCGAGTTAAAACACGAACAACTCAAAAATATGATCCACACAATTCAGCTGATTCTATAACAAACCAATGAAAAAATTATCTAATTTAATCATCTACTTTTTTTCAGAAAAATCTTGTTGTGTTTTATTGAAAAGGTGAACAGACAAACATTCAAATGGTTTTTTCCTTTATAAAACTAATTTAAAACAACCTACACACACATACACACACACGATTGTTTACATTAGACATAATAGTAAAATGTAATATAAATTAATTTGGGCTTTCAAAAAGAAACCTACAAAATGATTGCTTGATTTTTCATGGAAATTACTTGCTTGAAAGAAGGAAAAAAAACTTTTACTTATTATTATGGTTATTGTACATTGAATTCATTGATCGGCAAACTGAACACTATGTAATTGTATATTACAAAAAGAAAATGCAACTTTCTCATTAAAAAAAATAGTTCAATGTGAATTGTAAATTTCTTAGATCATTTGTTCTTCTTCGTCTTCTCCTTCTTGTTTTAATTACTAGCAATGTGTTTTGTTCAATGTACAAGATAATCTTTGCATTATATTTAAACAATACTACATTGTATAAGAAGAGGATGGTTTAAAATCTTATACATAAACATAATTTATTCATTCATGACAAACAAGACAAACAACTATTTTGTTTGTCAAGAATATTCATATATATTGTTCTTTTTAATTTATAGCACTGAAAATAGTAATGTTTTAAATTTGTTATAAAACGAAAAAAAGCATTTAGTTATATTGTTGTCACTTAATCTTTTCTTTGTTGATTCAACAAGTATAAAACTCTCCTCTTTAATGCAGTGGTTTATTTAATAAAGGGAAAATGTCAGCTAAATGAAGTACATTTGTTCTTGTTAACATGCATAAATTACTTACTTACTTACGCCTAATACTCCCAATGAAGCATAGGCCGCCGACCATCAGTTTTCTCCAACCCTAAATGGTCTACAGACGGAGTACTTATTCTTTACAAGAATAAAAGTTACGCAAATTATGTAGACTTGGAGTTTGAATTTTTTTAATTGGAAAAAGTGTTTAAGCAGTATATTCTTCACACATAATATTGTAGTCATGCAAGGTGTTTGATTCAGAACCAGACATTCTGTTTCTGTTTGAACAGAATGTATTCAATGCCGTTTTCAGTTCCATAATGCATTGGTTATAATCATCCAAGACTAGAGAAAATAAGATGGAAACAGTGAGCATAGAACTATAAAATCAATAATTATTACGATAGGTTAGTCAGGTATATCAATCAAGTCTATCATGATTGAAGTACAAGGTTGTTTTATGATTTAATGTCCAGGTTCTTACAAGATTACATGTGAAATGAGAAATATTTACAGCTCTAAGCAGATTGAGGGCATTTTTTTAAGGAATAGTGAGCGTTAATGCAACAAACTAAGGATGGGAGTGATTTTATTTCATGGGTGATAGATTGAGGTAAATTATTCCAGAATCTCGAAAATTTACTGATAAAGTAAGTTGTATAAAGAAAAGATTAAGAATGAGATTGAATCATTAATTACAAAGATTCATGGAAGCTATAACTAGTAGTATAT